CCCGGCCTGGCCGGACCGGGGATCCTCGCACCCATCTCGGGTCTCGCAGCTGCTCTCCAGCACATCTGCGTTAAATGCTGGGAGGCGGCAGCTGCTGCCAGCGCTGCGTTAGGTGGGATAACAGATGGGATAACAGCGTAAATGTCTTCTCCTAAAGGGCTGCCCAGCCCTGGCTGCCCACGGCAGTGTTGGAGTCCCTGGAAGGTTAAAAAGCCGTGTGCATGTGGCACTTGGGGACATGAGTTAGCGGTGGCCTTGGCAGTGCAGGGAGAACAGGATTGGACTATTGGGAACAGTCGGACTTGATGGTCTCAGAGGGCTTTTTTAAACCTAAACAATCCCATGGTAAAATATATATTTAAAGTTTAAAGATACAGCTGGATATTTGTTGTTTGATGCTTTGCTCTGTTTTTTAGCATTGAGGTTTTTCAAGTGCTAAAGATTAGATAAGGTTATTGAAAGCTTACCTGTTCGTGCGTGGGCTGCCACCCCTCCTCACTGGCTGCCCTGTGTTCCTGCAGAAACAAGCCATCAGGCTCTCCAGAACATGCCCAGAGTCCTCCGGGAAGTGGAGGTCTTGAAACAGGAGGCAACGTTCCTGAAGGAGCAGATGATCCTCGTTAAAGAGGATATAAAGAAGTTTGAAGAAGACACAGCTCAGTCCATGCAGGTCAGTTCTTAGTGTTTATCTGCAGCTTGTGAAATTCTGAAAGTTACAGAGCTGTTCATGTGAAATAACCTTGTGAACTTAAGATAGGAAAAGCACTTTTAACATCAGTAGTGGAAAGGTGGGTGTGACACAGCTGTGCAGGCTGCATGTCCTGAGGAACAGCTGCTCAGGTGTCTGTTCAGAGCTGCTGGTTCCTGGCTGGGGGCTCTGGTTTCTGCCTGGGGTGCAGAGCATTTTCAGGCCAAGTGGATACTAAAAGAACAAGGCCAATATTCAAACCAACCTGTTATTTGACTTTAAAAGATGATTTTACATCTCTAGCTCCTTCAAACCATTTTATCTTCTGCAATAAAATAATCTTTTCACACCTTTTTGTTCTTAAAATTTAAGCAGAAGGTAACTCCCAAGCACCTGTGAGAGCCATTTTTTGTTTCAGGGTGTAACAAAACAAAATAACACGGTGTTGTTTTTTCCTCAGGTCCTGGTAGAGATTGACCGAGTGAAGTCCAGGATGCAACTGGCTGCCGAGTCACTTCAGGAAGCAGACAAATGGAGCACACTAAGTGCAGATATTGAGGAGACTCTTAAAACACAGGTAAACACTGAATTATTTGGTATTTGTGCCTGCAGCTTTTCAGGGAGCTGTGTTTAAAAGCCGGTTTTTGAGGCGGCTGTGAAACACGTCCCTGGTGCTGGTGCTGTCTGAGGTTGCCCTGGGTAACAGGCTGCCTTTCCGGCTTGCAGGACGTGTCCCTGATCGCAGCCAAGCTGACCAGCATGCAGAGCAGCCTGGCCATGCTGGTGGACACGCCGGATTACTCAGAGAAGTGTGTGCACCTGGAGGCGCTGAAGAACCGCCTGGAGGCCATGGCCAGCCCCCAGATTGTTGCTGCTTTCAACTCCCAGTCTGTAGGTCAGTAGCTGCTGGTGGCATTTACTGTCAGCACTGAGTTTGTGGTCTTTAAAACCTCTTTAAAACAGTTTGGGTGGAGAGTTGGTGTCCTGAAGGCTCCTGGCACTGGCTCCTGAGCTTCTCCTGGAGGAGCAGGTGCCCTGGAATGTTTTGGCAGTGTGCTTTGATTTTCCTGTGGTTGGATGTACCTGTGGCCACTGCAGGAAACAAGATTTTATGGGCCACGTGGATGTACTGCTCAAATGAGCAGAAGGGCCTTGGCTTTCTGTTATCATGGTGTTATTGGTGTAATCAGGAAGGAAGTTTGTTTGGAAGTGTTCTGACTTCCTACTACTTTGTAAAAGCAGCTTTGCAAATTCTCCTTAGAACTTTGGTCTTTTTGGACAGTTCTTTGTGCTGTTCTTTCCCTGTGCTGCTGTCAGTGCTTCTGAACAGTAGTTGTTCTGGTTGTTGACACTCATCTCTGTGCCCCTCGAGCTCCTGCAGGGATCTGGGGCTGTGGGGTACAAACCAGGGTTTTGAAGAGCCTGTGTTTCTAAGCTGTGTGCAGGAGCAGCTGTGCCATGAGTCAGTCTGAGGCACAGGTGTCATTCTGAGGACAGGTGAAAGCAAAGCTGAGGCCTTTGTCAGGTATGCTTTAGGTTTGTAAGTGCTGGCTTGTTTCTATGAGCTAATTATTTCCTTCTAGGAAATGCTCTGGCTTTAATACTGGATGTGTTAGCACTGTGTGCTGGTTAGGAAGGTAAATTAATTCATTGTGTCTGCTGTCTGATCTTGTTTGAGGGTGGGTTTCAGGCAGTTCTGCTCCTGTTTGAGAAGATAAGCAAACGAAGATGAAGTTGTCTCTTTCTGTGTAGACCATTGTGCCTGCTCCCTTGGAAGAGGAGTTCTGGCTCAGACTGATGTCTCACCCTCAGCTTTGAGGCTGATCCTGATGCCTGTTATTTTGTTTTGTTTAGATCAGGCAAAAATGTTTGTTAAAGTCTTCACTGAAATCGATCGGATGCCCCAGCTCCTGGCTTACTATTACAAGTGTCACAAGGTAAGTGTTTTGGTAGCACTTGAAGGAGGAGGAATAGCGGTGAATTCTTGCTGGGCTCTGACTGCAGAGGGAGCTGCTGCCCCACGGATCTCAGCTGTGCTCTGCTGGGGGATGGCACCCGTTCTCTCTCTATTTCCTTCTGAGCCTTCTCTTGCTGGCTCTGACCAGCGTTGCTTACTCCCCGTGTTGCAGGAGCAATTCTCCACTCGGGGCCCTGTCCCTTCCTGCAGCAGACACAGGCTGTGTGTGTTCTGCTTGATTTCTCTGTGCCTCATGGTTTTACTTTGCTTTGCTCTGGATGTGGCTGTGTCAGCAGTAACTTTATTACTGCAACTTGCCAGCTGCTGACTTCTGTAAACTCTTTTCAGGTAAGATTAAAAGTTGGAATTCCAGACAGTTCTGTAGCCATAACCTGAGCTTCAAATTTCTCACATGACTGTGACTTTTGAGGATTAAGTTCAAGGCTGGGGCTTGCCAAGTATTTCAACTATTATGTGGGGGTATCAGTTGCAATCTCATTTTATGAGTAAAATACCAATGTTAATTAAATCTTTGAATCACTAAGAAGCTGAAAGTCTTTTCCTTCTGTGGTGCTGAATTATATGTTATGCTGAAAGGGGAGAGGGGCACAAGGGGGAGCCTCATGTTTTGGCAGAGGCGCTGTGCATGGGGAGTGCTGGGTTTGGCATAGCAAAAGCAGGACCTGTGGCCTGTTAGTTTTCCTGTCAGATGTTGTGTTTCCCTTCAGGTGCAGCTGGTGGCCGTGTGGCAGGAGCTTTGCCAGAGTGACCTGAGCTTGGATCGCCAGCTGACCGAGCTGTACGACACCCTCCTGGGCACCTGGCACAGCCAGCTCCAGTGGGCAGCACAGGTGCAGTGCCAGGCTCTGCTGCTGGGGGGGGACGGGGCTGGGCACCCTCTGCATCCTCACACAGCCCTGAGGAGCTCCTGGCTGCTCACCCTCAGTTACACTCTGGGCCTGCCTGCTGCAGGCTGGGCTTTGCAGCCCTCTCACTGCTCCTGGTCAGCCCTTGCAGGCAGGATTGGAGCTCTGCTGTTCCACCTGCAGCAAGGTTGCCGTGTTATTGACATTACAGCTGCTCTATCACTTTCATCTGTATCTTAAGTTAAAACTAATTTGTTGGTGTTGTAAATGTGTTCTGTTGCAAGACATTTGAAATGCCTGAATTGCTTTATCACTTGGCCTGGAGGAAGCCCTCAAGGTCACGCTGGACTGATGCATGTTGCTCTGTGTGAGATATCTGGGGGCTTCTGCTGTCACCCCTTGGAGTCTGTGTGCTTGTTTTCCCTGCCAAGAATAATGTAGGATCAAAAAAAGTTTTTGTCCTTTGGTGAAATGAAGAAATAAGTTCATATTGTTGAAGAGTTTTTCATCCTTGAAGGGTAAGAGATTCTTATCTTCGTGTGACAAAGCCAGTGTCAGTGCAAGGCCTGCGCTGAAGAGGAGCTCAGTGTTTCCTTGAAATGTATTTTTTCTGCCTAATGATTCGATGTGACTTACAGGTCAGATGTCAGGTTACATTTTAGCAGATATTCTTTGAACCGGGGACTGTGAGAAATGGCACGTGGGGCACGGCTCCTGTCACTCAATCTCCTGTGTTGCTTCTGCTTTCTGAAAAACTCTGGGACCTTTCTGATGGTAAACCCAGCTTTCAAAGCGAATGGGCAGAATAGCTGATGAAAAAGTCACAGTGAAGGCTGTAAAAAGTTTTATGCTAGTGGAGTGCCTGATTCTCAGCTGATTACAGACTTTCTAGCCTTTCCACTACTGACTTCTGCCTATCTGACCAGTAATTTGGCTGATAGAGTCCTATTTCTTCATATTTTACTGATTCATGTTGTTTCCCAACACACCTGTGTAAACTTGAGTGCTGTGTTTCAAATGCCCTCTTCTGCCAGGTGTTTTTAGAACCACTCTAGTGCCTGTGTTCTGAATTCAGTTTTTGACCTGTGCCTGTTTTCTAGTTTCTTGGTGGCTGTACTCCATGTACAGCCCTGGACTTGCAGTCAGGCTGTCTGTGTGCAGGTCAGCGTGGCTCTTGCAGCCTGAGCTGACACCTCTGGGTTCCTCACCCCTTGTGGGGTGTTCCAGGTGTGGCAGCTGCTCTCTCTGCTGTGTGTCCTCTCAGGTGATGTGCTTTTGCCAGTAGCTGTTCTGCTGCCACAGGTTTTCAGGAACCCGCATGAAGTCGTGACCGTGCTGCTGATTCAGACCCTGGGAGCCCTGGTGCCTTCCATCCCCGTGTGTCTCAGCACTGCCATGGAGAGGACGGGCCAGGACACCAAGCTGGCCCAGCTGCTGGAGCTGCACGATGCCACCGTCCACTTTGCCAAGGGGCTGGAGGTAGCCATGCTGCCAAACCTCAGTAAGGCTCTGCCTCTGCGTTCTGCCATTCTGTGCTGGCCCTTTGTGAAGTCCCATTGTGGGATTTTGTTTAGTTTTAGGTGGAGGGGGGGATTATCTCTTCTGAGCAGTGCCCAGTTCCACAGCACTTGCACCTTTGTGGTTGTGTGTGTGTATCTTACACCTGAGCTGTTGACACAACACTGAGTTTCCTGAAGCTGCCCTGTCCCGAGCTGGCTCTGCAGGGTAAATAGCATTTAGCACTTCTCCTTTTACAAGATTTACTGTTTCTTCTGTCTCCCAGACAAGGAAATGTCTCCAGGGAGGCAGTGAGACCCATTGTGAGAGATGACAAAGCAGAAAAGTTGAGGAGTTTCCTGGAGTTATCACATCTCACTGAACAAGAGAAAACCTGCTTGAAGGCTGCATCCATTGGATGCTTGTGTTTGTTTTTGTCGTTTTTCTGTTGCTGCTGGCTTAGGGTTTAGTCAGGTGACAATGCCCAGTGTTTTTTCCCAGCAGCATCTTCAGTGTTTGTTTCCAAATCTGCCCTGTGGTTTCCCCTCCCTGGGACATTTGTCTTTTTGGTCATGATTGCTGAGTGATGCCTGCAAACCACACTGCAGTGAGGTGCTGTTTGCACAAGCTTACACCTGACTGGAGCTGTTGGCTATTTATAGACCCTTTTGAATTTGATGGGACTGCTTCAAAGGCTGGCTGTGGGAAAATCCAAAATTAAGGCTAATGGAGCATTTCTGATGCTGTGCTTCCTGTGTTTGGTTCCTCATAACATTGTCTTGAGCTGTTTAAACCCAGATTCTTTCTTGATCCTGTAAATTATGATTGCTGGGCAATGTCAGGGAGTGTGACTGTGTCTGTTGTCAGGCTGGTTGCGTACACATCAGTCATTTTCTTATTTAGTTTGTGGTTCATTATAGAAATTAGTAAAAAGGACTTGGAAAAATAATGCCAGATTGTAGAAGATGATGGAATAGGAAGACTACTGTTGAGCTGTTGTCTGAGTGTGTTTAAAAAAGCACCCAAGGCCTCTATTTCTGTCTCTTTTAGTGTGGGGTAAGATGTTTGAGAAAAGAAATATCTCAAGAATGGAAAGGCCAGGTGACTCAGCTGAGGAGACTCAAACCAGTTCCTGCGTGTGTGTGTGAGGGGAGGGCTCAGCTGTGATTCACAGCATAATTCAGTTTGGAAGGGACCTTGGGAGATGATCTGGTCCAGTCTCCTGCTCCAGGCAGGACCTGCAGTGAGGTCAGGCTGTGCTTGGGGTGCTGTTCAGTCTGGTCTCCAAAGTGTCCCAGCACAGAGCAGTGCTGGCTTTGGACAGACTGCTCCATTGCTTTCCTGTCCTCAGGGTGTGACAGCCTTCTCTGATAGCCAGGATTCAAAGTAAATTAGGTCTGCTGCAGGCTGGAGTTTGGCAGAGCTGTGTGAGAACAGCTGGTGTCCAGCTCTGATTTGGGCAATAATCATTCAGCCCTGCTTTGTGTTTGGGCTGGCAGCTCCCTGCTCAGGCATGGCACTGAGAGGCTGAGTCTGTGCTTCTCCTTCAGCTCTGGGTGATGAACACTGGCACAGTAGTGCTGAATGAATTGAATTAGTGTCAATTATTTCAAGAGTGAACTAGGCTTTCTGATAAATGAGGATTGCCCCTGTTTGACACTGTGGGAGTAATGTGTTTCACTTCTCAGATGGTTTCAATTCTTCTGCTGTGGGTTGGAATGTTTGATAGATTTTTGTCACCCAGGCTGTTTTGGGTCAGTGAGTGCTAATTTTCTTGAGACACTTGTTGAGGTAGAACATCTTGGTTTTAGGAAGCAGGTAGAGATAATAATCTTGTTTCTAAAAAATAAAAAACGCAATCTGTGTAGTTGAGATTGAAGCTGTTGGGCAGCATTCCAAGCCTGTGCAGGCAGCATGCTTTAGTAGCTTGAAATGAGGCTTTTAGTAACATATTCATCTCTTTGTAGACTAAACATGTGATTCTTTGTAGAGGAGCAGAACCTGGTGAAAGTGATGGAGCTCGTGGAAGTGGTGTATGCTCCCTACAAGCCCTATCAGCTCGAGTATGGAGACCTGGAAGAAGAGAATCTCCTCATCCAGATCAGTGCAGTGCCCTTGGTAATGTACCAGTCTTTGCTCAGCTGTGCTGGGAGAGGCTGAAGCTTCCCCTAAACACTGGGGTCTTTGTCACAGTTACTGCTCTCTTTGCCCCTCTCCCTTTTGGCTATATTTCCTTTCATTTGCAGAAGATTCTGCTGTTGGCAGAGCTGTTTTTCCCTGGGGGGCTCAGGGTTTGGCAGCCTGGCTGTTGTTGCAGTCCGTGGGCAGGAGGGTGGGAGCAGCAGCATGGCTCTGCCTCTGGAGTTTCACAGGGAAGGAGGGTACCAGAGAGCACTGTGTTGCACAAGGTGTGTTTCTCTTGCCTGGAAGGAGGGGCAGGCTCAGCGTTGTTGTTGCTGTTGTTATTTAGGAGCACTGGGAGGTGATTGATTGTGTGCAGGAGCTGAGCCACTCGGTCAGCAAGCTGTTCACGCTGGCGGCCGGGGCCATCGACAGCTGCGTCAAGCTCACGGATGGCCTGGGCGTGTGTGGGCTGCTCAAGGCCCTCAAGGCCCTCTTCTCCAAGTAAGCTGCCTTTAGCTACTGCTCCATTCATCCAAGGCCTTGGTAGTTTATGGAAAATGGCTGAGAGCAGAAAGTGTCTCTGACTGTGCCGTGACTCATCAATATCCCCCTTGCCGCTTCATTCCAGCACGGGCTGTTTTCTAGAGGAAAAATGGAAGATTTTTATGGCTAAATCAAAGGCTTGCCAGCTGTTTCCGATTCTGGCTGGGGAGAGTTTTCATTTTTAATAAATACTTTTGAAGGAGAAAATGTTTCCCAAAACAAAATAAGGCAAATTAGGCTGGTGAAAGTAGATCTCAATGGGGAAATAAGTCTGGAGGTTGAACTTGATCGTCTTGGAGGTCTTCTCCAACCATATTGATTCTGTGAATACACAGTTACTGGGACAAGTGACCTCACATTCAGGATCTGCCTGTAAGTCTGAGATACCCCAGAGTGAGGTTCACTCTTAGTTCTTGTCTTAAAGTATCACTTTCCTATTCCGATACTGATTTGCTCCTTATTCCTTCACGGTGCTGAAAGAGCTGCTCACAAGGTATGAATCAGGTATTGCTGCCCTTTGGGAAGGGGAAAGAGGAAAGCACAAGTCTCTGATCTCACCTTCTTTATAGGCAATTAGAGAGCAATGTACCTGCCTGCAGCTTATGGGCATTATTAAAAAGAAAATGGGGGTGGGTGGAAAACAAAATGTTCTTCTCTTTATCCGTGTTCTCATCTGGGGAGTAGCTGAGAAAACAAATTCATGAGATTGTTGTCACCATGTTCCTGGAGTAAGAGCCAAGTGATGTTGGAGTAGCAGGAGCTGCATAAAGTTTTCCTGGTCTTTCCTAGGAGATGGCCAGTGTAGTGGTAGCTAAAATATCTTACTCCTTCCTTCTCATGGGCAGGGAGAGCTCTGGTAATCCACAGGCAGCAGACTGAGGCAGCCACACTGCATCTTTTGTGCCCCTTGTCTTGTGGTCTGGGCTGGAGTGGGCTGTGGCTGATCAGCCCTTCATATCCACCTGTTTGGAGTGGAGCCAGAGTGTCTCTTCTGCACTCCTTTTAGTGTTTCTGGTTCTTTCTGGGCCTTGCAGAGCACTGACTGAACAGATCACAGGACATGCCTTCGTGCTGCTCTCCAGCCTGTTCTCTTATGCTGGTGCTTCTCTCTGCTCCGTTTCTCACTGCAGGTACACATCTGACTTCACAAACACGCTGCAGTCCATACGGAAGAAATGTAAACTGGATGATGTCCTGGCAGATTCCCCGTTCCAGGAGGACTGGACTGCCTTCCAAAACTCTGTCCGGTAAAGGCTTTGGGTTTGTTTGTCTGGCCCAGAGCTGATTTTTGTATCAAAGCTGAAAGGGAACCACTCGGGGTCAGTTTACACAAGTTCTCCGTGCAGAACACAGGGCTGAGCTCGCTGTGCTGCTGCAAGCACCAGTGTCACTCCTGGGTTTCAGGTTGCTCCTGGCACGGGGAGGGCTGTGGGGCTCCCCACCCTGCCTGCAGCAAGGCTGATCTCATGTCACTTGTAATATTAGCAGCTCTTAGGATTTTTCCCGGTGACACTGAGCTGGCCTTCCCACGATGACAAGTAGTAGCATATGGATGAGGCCATTGGGCAAAAAAAGTCAGTGTTATCAAATGGATGCAGAGTTAACCACCAGATTGACTCTTGACTGATGTGTGGGCTGTGGTTTGGTTATGGCTTTTCATAATTACTTGACATGGGTCTGAGATGGGTTCTCTGAGGGGGGTCTGGCATTATCTGCCTCAGATCTCACAGTGTGTTTTTGTCTTGTTCTTTCCCAGGATAATTTCCATTTGTGGTGAACTCCTTCATCAGTGTGGAGACTTTGAGCAGCAGCTGGCCAACAGGTGGGTGCTGGTGACTTTAATTCAGAGCTGCTAATGTAGGAACTGAATTGAAAGAAAACAAACTCCAAGGTGTTTTGGTTGCATAGACCATGGAGGGAAAGGCACCACTGATTCCCCTTCCCCATGCTTTGACATGTCAGAGAAGGGGCATAGACTGTTCTCCCAGCCGTGCTCCTGAGGCAGTCCCACGAATCCTTTTCCAGCGGGCTGCCAGATGGGGACAGGGAGGAATTTTCCACCAGATCAAATTGGCAGGATCCTTGTGACATGGGGCGTGAATCACGTGCTGAAATGTGTGGGTGTGCCTTACCTGTTGGGTTCCCTGGAACCTGAGCAGGGTAGGCACAGGCAGCACGTGGATCTGTTGTAAGCAGTGCAGTGCCCAGGCTGTGGTTCCTTCAAGTGCTCGGTGTGACTGGAGAAGAGCCCAGCCTGCAGTGCTCAGTGGGGCCCCTCTGCCCTCCCAGGGCACAAACCCCCCTGCTCTCCCAGCATTCTGCAGCTGGTGAGCTGCACCGAGGATGAGAGGGCTGGCTGCAGGGCTCTGTCAGTGAATGCTCTCCCTTGAGGTCACTCAAGGGTGGTGCTGGTCCCCGGGCCAGCATGAGGGCAGGACTGCTGAGTTCAGAGGATTCTGCTGGTGACTTTTGTGTACTTGTTTTCAGGATTTTGTCAACTGCCGGGAAGTATCTCTCAGACTCCTACAGCCCTTGCAGTTTTTCTGGCTTGCAGGACACCAGTTCTGCAGAAAGGAAGAGCTCCATAAAAAATCCCTGGCAGGAATACAATTATCTCTCGAAGGAGAATCCATCTGAGTATGCCAGCCTTATGGAAACACTTTACACCCTGAAGGTAGCCCTGGTGCCTGGAGATTGCCTCTATTACAGTGTGCTCTTGGGCCCATAGTGGGTGGATGACACCTGGATTCCCCCTCCAGTCTTGTGACTTTTCATGCTGGGCTGCAGCCTTTCCTTGGGCTGTGTTCTGCAGAGACACTGATACACAGAGAGATGAAATGTCCAAACCCAGGGAGCCTGGACTCATTCCATCTCTCCCCAGATCCTGGCTCTGTTTTGTGAACCAGCCCTTATCAGCTCAGGCGAGGGAGATTTTATCACACTGAGCATTGGGAAGGTTGTGTTGGAGCCATCTCAAATTCTGGAGCCCACACACCACCTTCCGAGGCTTTCTCTGCCACTTAGGCTCTGCTGCCCTGTCCAGTCTGAAACAGAATTCTGCAGGATCATTCATGCATGGATCTGTGAGCAGGGTAGAATGGCTTTAGTTATCTTCTCATGGATCTAAGTTATGTTTGCCACCATTGGTCACATGCAGTAGTGAATTCAAGGTTATGAGTTTTATTTCCTCAAAATGTTTTGATTTCTTCTGCACTTGGTTTCCCTGCAACTTTTGTGGTTCCACCTTCAGTGTCATGTGTCTGACTTCAAAGCTTGACTGAACTGTCCAGTTCCACAGGTCCTCTTCAGGTAGAACTTAATTCCATGCAGGGTA